ATTTCAATAGTTTTGGAACCACTTGTCAAACATGTTATTATCAATCCTAATAGCATATCTAATTATTCTGGAATCCTGATTCTTTCCCAGTTTAAGAAGAAGAAGTATTTCACTTTAATCTTCTTTGTCTTGTTTTTCATTCTTTCTTACCTCTATTACAAGCGCTTTTTGTAAATCATTGCCCCACTCTAGTATTTTCTCATGTATCGTGGGTGCGTTTACAAACATAAAAGTTCATATATACGTGACACCCAGACCCGAAAAAACAATTTGTGGATCACACAAAGAACTCTTTGTTTGGAACAACTGTTCCGTGCAAGAATCGAAACCACTACCACACTTCTTTCTGCCATATGTAGTTATTTGCGAAAGAGGACAACCAACGATAACATAGATATCTATCTATCAATATATTTGTCCTCTATCCATATTGATTGTTTTCGAAATCATTGTTTAATTATGTTATAACTCTGAAAATATTATGATTGATAACACTACAGTAACAATTCTGTTCATAGTAAGTTTATCATATTTTTTACAAGATATGAGTAATATACGTGCTTTTTACTGCACTACGTAATAACAATAATAACATCGTAAAGATAAATATTAGCATTAACAACAATGTATAATATCTGGAATGATCGTTTTAATAACTCCCACCACGATATAACAAAGTTTACGAGTAAATCACAACAAAGTAGTTGCAGCGAGGACTATCGTTGTTGCAAATTGTATTTATCTGTGAGTATGTACTTGTACCTATGTAGTGCATGAATAGAACCTACAAGCCTAATTTACTAGGACAACATACATAGATTTGATGACTTCTCCCGCCTGGGTGAGGCGGGAGGGAGTGTCAGACTCTTACTGTTGTCGTGGTGGCCCGGAGGTTTAAGCGCCCGCTTCTCATGCATGAGGGTGCAGGTTCGAAACCTACCAACGGCAAGTACCAATGTGACTTTTTCCGAGTTATATGTACTTTCTAAGATTGTTTAGACATCACTGACAAACGGTGAAGGAATAACATCGCGAGGAAACCTGGGCTTATAATTTCTAATTATAAGTTTGAAATCGCCAACCCACATTGAGCAAGCGTGGTGATTAGTGCTCAAACCTTCTCCGTGTGAGAAGAGGCTTTGCTTAGCAGTGGGCATTTATAGGCTGTTGATGATGATGAAACTATTTTGTCTTATAGCATACAATGACTCTTTTACACTCCAAATAGTAAAGAACCATAACAGTTCTACTGCTGAACAATTATACGCCTTCCCCGGTATTTCTAGAGTAGTTGGTTTGAAATGTGTCTTAAGATCTAAAGAAAAGAGTTGCGTTTTCATCAACGATGTAGTGGACTTAAGCTATCAATTCTATTTAATGGTGGATTGCAATAAAGTATTACTTGGTTGTTGATGAAGTACAAGGAGTCGTGAACTCAGTTCAACTTCTAGTGGAATTAAAAAGGCAACTAATGGATTTTCGTTATCTGCTGAACGATTACGAGTTGCTCAATGAATTGAATAGTAAAAGTTTTAGTTTCGCTGCACTTTTATAAATTCAGGTGCATCTTAGCTAGAATGAATACATAATAGGATTGAAGACTCTCTTGGCCTAGTCGTCGAAATTTAGGCAATTATTGAAACCAAACCGTATGTGGCAAGAATTGCAGTTTTGAGTTTTTGTAATAGTAGTGTGAGATAAGGACGTTACAAAATGTTATTTTTCATAATGAGAATAAGAGAAATCAACTCAAAACGCAAGTTTTATATATAGGTACATAGTATATACCTAGTCTACTGTCATTAGGTTGCGCGACATAGCCACGACCGCGCACGCTGCTCATGAGAAAAAGCCCCTCTGTGGCTCGAAACTAGTAGAACTTTTCACAGTATATCCCGCGTTTTCAGTTAATTTAATATGTCTCACAATAGTTGGTATAAAAGCAAGAGTCATCAAAGACTATATTAAACTATGTTCTATGTATTTTGATTCAGTTGATAATATAGTACACAATAATCTTATTCCAAAGCTAACATAAATAAAACAGTTGAACCCCACACGCCGAGGTCACCCATTGATACGTTTTCCTAGGTGGGTAATAACTTTCTTAGAGTTAATTAAACTTGTCTGAGTAGGTTTAGTTTAGTGATTTACAACTCTAACTCGAAGGCAGTAGTTTTGAAATTAATTTAACCAGTTTCGGGAGATATGTTAACACTAATTTGGATGTTCATACGTTAGTGACCGCTTTCTGAATATTTGTGTTTAATGTTTGGAATAGATGTTTGTTAGGAATTTAAGGATCCATTTCAATGTTGGGCTTAGCTATGTTATAATTAAATGGAAATTTTATGTTGCTAGGCTCTGTGTAAAACATATTGTTAATCAAGGATCAGTTACAAGAATTTCTTGTTTATTCAACGTTAATAATTTACTCATTCCGGATGGTTTTCAATTCTCTTTTCAAGAAATTTATAGAGCTGTGCCTTATATTCTGACTATAATTCATACATTAAATCAACAAGATATCTCTATCTCTATAGACTTCAAAGTCAATCATTAAGACTATTAGCAACACTTAATAATGATTATACAACACGCCACGCAAGAACCCGACACTTCGAATCTAAAACCCAAAAATCTAAATCGTAAACACCAAACCGAACAAGTTTACAGTTAGTTGTTCATGAACTGTGCCCATAAACTTGTGGGGTCTAACCGCAAAATATCCCAAAAAGCATGGTCTTTACACGCGGGATGTAAAAACACTAAGGGCAAATAACAAAAGTTTGACCATTTCGACCTGTCAACTAGCACCTGGCCTGAACAAGGCCATAACGACTCGACATCGGCCTCGTTAAATGTGTAATTAAACCTGCCACACGCTCATGAGTCCATTCTTGGTCCCTGCAGTACTATTATGCGGAGGAAACATTGATGGGGAATTGTATTAGAATTTTATTTGACGTTTCAGTTGTGGTAAATTTTTAAATAAGAGGCGTGTTCTATTGATTCTGACGCACAAGACATGTATTTTTCGGTTGTATATTTTTGTGAAATCAAACCAGATTATGCAACAATCTTTAACAGTGAACCTGTTACTGAAAAGTTAACAGAATTAGTGATGATTGTATGTAAATATTATTAATATACTTTTAACTGTTTCGTTCTCTGAAGAAAGTATAGTTGTGACGTCACCTTTAACCAGTTATTTTTATAAACCTTCTAAAATGCATAATAAAATCCTATTCTTAACTAATAACTGCCTCTCAGTAAATAATTACAACATTTACTATATAAATTAACATCATTATCGAATCCCACTTTCAGCTTAAAATTAACCCACTTTCAGAGAAAAAAAACAGTGATGACGTGTTTCCAAGATGGCCGACTTCCGGTGCTCACGACTGACTATTTTCAGTGTATTTTTCATTAATGACTCGACGTTTGGCATCATCCTCTATTAGATGACATTGAGTCAACATTTGATTTTCTATTTCTTTTGTGCCAAAGTAGTTTTTGTACTATTATATTTTTACTATAATTATGTAAGAGATTCGTTTGAATCGTTGTCGGCTTTTGCTCTTGGATATAACATAACATCTTTTATCCCCGAAGGAGTAGGCAGAGGTGCAAATTACGGCACTTAATGCCACTATACAATGTAACACCCACTTTTCACTATTGATGTTATGAGTCCCAAGTAATAGGGGGTGAGCCTACTGCCCCAATTAGATATAATTGTGGGTAAGTCTGAATGTGGTTTAAATTATTGTATTGGAACTCATACAGATGATTCCTCTTAAAATTCATAAAGTACTTTCACATAATTTTAATAACTGGTGGGTAAATTATAACAATATTTCTATTTATAACAATATGGTGTGATATTTGAACTGCTTAAAAAAGTGAACACTCAAAAACTACTCTAAAATATAGGCCTGTCAAAGCTCTACTAGTTTCGAGTCACAGAGGGAGTCTTTCTCATAAGCAACGTGCGCGGTCGCAGCGATTTCGTGCAGCCTACAGGCCTAGCAGTCTACGTCTCTATGACTCGAAACTAGTAGAGCTTTTCTCAATATATTCACGTGAGTAAGTCGTTAGTAATTTCTTCATGAATAATTCTTAGTTAATTCAGTGTGTTACGATGGTTTATAAAAAAAAATTAAATGTTGATTTTTCAGTACGATAACAATTCCTATTGCAATTTACAGTTTCTTTGGTCATTCTGACTATTACATTATATTTGACTAGGACATTGGTAGGTACATTTCATATGGAGATATGCCTAAACGGCGTTCAGTAAGACGTGTCAACCTCAGACGGTTTCCGAGAAGTTCATGACTAATGACAGACACATTTATGTTTGAAATACAATTGACTGGTCTGGTGGTGCTAACTCGTTTAGGACTGTTTTGGATACAAAAAAAAAGTAATAATGTATGCCTAACTTGGTAACAAAATACTATAAATATTTTTAAATCTTGACTAATAATAATATTTTTATACGTAATGTAATCAAATAAACTCGTAATCATTTGTTATTTAACAACTTTTTTGCTACTTATCGATTAAAAACTTCTTGTTACTATTGCAGTATTACGTTATAAGTGCATCCCACCCAGAAACGCACCATCAATAACAAACAAACATCTGCGTACAAAATAAGACCAATCACACATGTACCAAGTTCCATTAAGTCGAGATAAAAGACGGACGGTACTATTTATAATACTTTATTGCCGGTAATATTTGTATCGAGTTTTATTTATTAAAAAAGAATGTATATGTATAACGGTGGGCCAGAGCCGACACCAGACGCGTGCGATCTAAATATAAACTACCCGCGTGCTCAGAAAACAACAAGTCACAATATTTAGAATCGGACGCGGGAACGCACGCCTCTATCGCCCGTCTACAACGACACACAAAAATGGATTCCTCACTTACGTGATAGTGCAGTGTTTTGTGTTCTATGTGTTAGTGATGTGCTTACTGAAATGTTCGCCAACTTCAAACTGCCAACGCTCAAACAAAAGTCTACAAAAGAAGAACCCCAATATTGCTACAGGAGCGTTAAGAGCAAACCGCCAAAAACTCCAACTCTGTCTCGCGTGAAACGACATCAAAGACGTAAGTTTAGATATAACGCCGTATATTTGTATAATGCAAAAATAAACACGGCTTAATGAGGTGCGGGTTTGTTTGTTCGTTTCGTACGAACAAACTTCAAAATTAGATGTTTCTGTTAATGGGATGCGTCGCGAAATACGGAATGAGCTTTGCGATGCGGCTGGTATTTGTGTAAATTGGAGCTGAGCGAATCTGCTCCCAATCCGCGGCACTACTAGGATTGTTCCTAGTGTTGACAGTTTTGATTAGAGAGGGGAAACGCAGGTGTCTTCGTTTGCATTTGAAGGCGCGTGACTGACGTACCGACTAGAGGTGCATGTTTATTCCGAGTTTGTAATGCCGTCTCTATTGCAGTGGCTTTGTATTTGTACGAAGCTGCGAATGTTTAATGGAATTGCAATCGCTTGCAATCTTACATTTATCTGCTTTGGGTACGTATTTTAGATTAGTTTGACAAATCGAAAACTTGTTATCAAGCCAGACACAGAAGACTACCTATTAAAAACCTTATTTGAAAACTAATAGTATTTCAAATATGTATCCTACTTCTATCGTTGGTTACACTCACCCGTCAACTAGATACAACTTCTACGTAGATACGTACGAACATCACTCACAATCACACAGGTATATGAAGAGCGGTTACTGAACTATATTCCCTCGATAGCAATCGGCCTCAATCCGTATTAATTCCTAGTTAGGCAACAACAATCAATTATTGAGGAGAAGTGATCAAGCATCAACCATTGAGGATCTATCTATTAAGGATATTATCGTGCTCTCTCTTTCACTCTAAAGACAATTCAGCAATCGTGTCCGATTAAACTGATAACTCGATAAATTAATGCTCAAATGTGTTCTAGGATTGCAGTGAATACTGTGGGTTCAGGACCATTTGTATTATTATAAATTAATGAACAGGACAAATACTTAATATTTGTCCCTACTTGTACTTGTTAGGACATTGAACATTTTCTCAAAGAATTTCTCTAAAAAACGTCACTGACTAAAGTCCAAAAACGACTCCATACTACATATTTGTTGTACTCAAAGTATGACGACTCAGTCTTGTGACACTAATCGATATTACATTCTCATCTCATCCACTAATCCATATCACAGTACAATCGTAACTCAGGATTCAAATTCACATCTAATGACGATATCACTTACAAAATCTCTTTCTAATGAGGCCGGCCGGAGTTGTGGCGTGCCCCAATAACAGTTTGTTTACTAATACTTGCTATAAATAACTTGTTGCTGTGCTTGGAGGTAGAAATTATTGGAATGGCTTCCAAGAACTTTGCTGAGATGCATTGTATATTGGGAAAATTGTGTTATATCCTTATTTATGCGTGCAAACTTAATAAGATACAGGTAAATATGACTGTAAAATACAAATATGTACCTCTATGATCTGATTTAATAAGCAAGTTTTATAGTTCATAGAAGCATGATTCTTCAATTTAAAACTGAGTCTTTCTATAAGTAATAACCAACGTTGTGTGTCAGAAGAAACAATAATTATTTAATTGGTTAATTATTTAAGAAACAATAAGGTCTATTATAATAGGCCTTTACAGGTTAAACTTAAGCTAAGGATAATATAGGGGACGAATGTTCCAAGACATAATCGTCGATATGTCAAAGGAAGCCTGACATATTATGTATATGACACCAACGCGCGACTTATGCCCACAGCGATGTTGATGTTGCCAGACATGTCGACCAAAGTCTAGCAACGTCACTTTACTTCACCCAACGTCGCTGGTGACACGTGTCGCAGGACATTTTTGTCCCCTTAGTATCATTTTTTTTAAGACGGGAATAGCATCGAATGACTTCTCCCGCCTGGGTTAGGCGGGAGGTAGTGTCAGATTCTTACTGACTAAAAACCACCCCGTTCCTACTCCTACACTTCGAGCCGGAGCCCCGGTAACCCGGTTCTCCGTGGATCCGCATCGGCATCAGCCCTATTGGGCCCTATCCGTGGTGGTCTGATGGCTCTTTGAGGCGCGCGCGGAACGCGACGCGCTATACCCTAAAATATAATTGGCTTTAAAATCTTAGTACAGATTTGCACCTCATACATTCTCTTGACAAGGTTACCATAACTATATCAAGTAAAACATCGATATATTAAAGCCAACTCTAATATGATAGTTAACGTAAATATTTATGGGAAATGTTAGCCCAAAGTTTTGTGTATGGAAAGCGGGCGGAGTAAATTCTGGTAAAGTTTTGTATTTATACACAACAGAACACACATATACACACATGTGTAAGATAAAGGTTAATAAATTACTGTTTGTTTATTTAAATACTACTATCTTAATGTAAATGTTTTAGTTTTTTACTGTTTAGTATGAAGTGCCTACAGGTGTTGCTATTTGATCTAGTTTTGCAATTGCAGTTCTTATAAAAAAGAGCATTAAGTATGTATTTGATTTCTCTATTTCCATTTATAGGAAGAGACTAATTTTTATTCGATGTCTGGTATAGATACGCCTGTTAGTAGACTGGAATACTTAGTATATCTACTAAAAGTTATTGTGTGTCTATCCATGGGTGGTACTGATATCTTATTATCAATAGTGATCCGTATGCTGCTATACCTGCTATCCTATAAAAAAATAAACAATAAGTATCTTATTACGCGTAGGTATATACCTCATTGGCCGAGTTTGGTCGTTAATACGACTGACGAGCAATGGGGTTTCGATTCCCGGGTCGAGCAAAATATTACTATGTTTAAAATTATCAGTAGTAGCACGGATTCTAGAATTGTGGCCGGTATATAACAATAGGCTCACCCCCTTTTACATGGGACTCATAACATAAATAGTGAAAATTGGGTGTTAAATGGTACAGTGGCATTAAGTGCCGTGATGAAAGGTGCACCCTTTGGCTACTCCTTCGGGGATAAAAAAGCGTGATGTTATATTATGTTACGCGTACATCTTTACTTACGTCGTCAAGCAACACAGAAACTTGTTGCTAAGTAGGTGTGTTAAGAGAAAAATTAGCTAAATTAACTCTTATCACTAGTTTATAACAAATAGCGTAGAAGTTAATTCCTAAATAAGTATAAACCAACCTGCAACCAGCCAGTAATCACTAATGTCCTAGGCATTCTAGAGTTGACCTAATTCAGTGCCCGCACTAATGCGCTAGCTCCTTATTGCTTACAATACTTGGGACGAGAGACTGCTATAGAGATAATGACAACATGAAGATTAAAGTAATGTTGGAAATTATAATACAACACCTTGTGTTTATACAAAAAATGTAGTGTTGAAATATTGTTATGCGTAAACATAGATAAGTAAATAAATAAAATAATCTTTACTCATAAAACACTGGCCAATATAGGTATAAAAAAATATATTTAAACGACAAGATCTTAAAAATAAATAATATATATAACATCACGCCTTTTATCCCCGAAGGGGTAGGCAGAGGTGCACATTACGCCACTGTCCAATGTAACACCCACTTTTCACTATTTTTGCTATGAGTCCCTTGTGATACTGAGTGAGCCCATTGCCATTTAAAAAATAAATAATTACTTATTCTTCATTATGCTTTATTCCAAAGTTATTTATATTTCAGTTTAGATATTCGAAACAAAAATTTAATAATTGGAAAATTATCTCAATAATGTCTCCACTAGAAAATTGAGTTACAAAATAAAATTACAATATTTTAAAACAGATTAAACTAAATTCTTTTAGTTCTATTTTTACTGACTTAGTTCTATTTTTATTGACTTTGCAACAAAATAACAGAACCCCTGTCAACGACAGCGTAATTAAATTTCGTCTATTAAACTAAAACTATTAAAAGAAATAACAATTTGTCTACTTTAATAATATTCAAATTGACGAGCTAAAGTTTCTAATTCACTGGAGCGCCCAGTAAACAACTTCAGTTTGTTAAAATCATCAGACGATTCTAAACTGAGCCTGTCCTGGCTCATAAATCATCATTATGACGTCACGCCAGAGCTGCGATGGAAAAATGACGACCAGACTTCTTAAAAGAGATTGTAAATCATCGTCTATATTTAAATAAATATGTGTTTAAATATTATATACCTTGAAAATCTTATCGTTAATGTTGGAAATGTATTAATTTTTATGACAATCAAATTGTAATGTCGATTGTCACGTCCAATTCAAACTTTATCCGAAGATTGTCGTTGCAAAATAAACAATTTATTTCTCCATACATTTTAAATTATTTTTACGTAGTGAAGAGGAACTGAAAATACATTTAAAATGTTTTTATTAAAAAAAATATGCTTGAAATATTTTTTAACTCGTCTTTATTCCTTTCATTACTCCTGGAAAAAGAAAAATAATATCATAAAAGGAAAGAGCATTAAATCCTCAACTATCGGTGACAATTGCCTTTATAGAATAAACAGTCTTCTTCGAGTCCAGATTCCTAGAATTTTCAGGTAAATTTACAATACATTTTTATTACAAATAAGTGTTGCAAGAAGATATCAATGTCTATTTTTAATAGAAATAAATAAATATTTTTTTCTAGACCACAAATCAGTGTCATGTAATAATTTATCGTATGCATAAATATTTTTTATATAACGAACAAGATCGTTCATCGGTTGTACTACATAGGTGTCTATATCCTACACAATGTTTAATCTTGAAGCCCAATAAATATAGACCACAATGGAGCCACACTATGTCCCGATACTGTTAACCCCAAAACACGCATTGCAGATGCAACGTTATTGGGCCATTCAACGCTACAAGTACAACAACACTTAGCCACAATTTGTGGAATCACGTGTATGAATAAGTCAATAATTTAAAGCATCTTTTTATTCGAACTTCTTTTAAAAATCTTGAATCATACTAAATGTAAACCGAATCTACATCGAAACCATGCGTATTTTCAATGAGTATCAAAATATATCATAATAATATTAAAAAAACACAAAAAAAAAACAAAAAAGGTTTTATCATCTACAT